AAGGGAGAGGACAATGTCGGCGGACTGAGCCGGAGGCTCTAAAGTAAATGGTGGTTTCCCTTTATTCTGCTAGAAAAAGCAACATGTTTCAAATGGTTGCAAAATGTATCTATTAAGGAGCCCTGTCAAATCAGACAAGGACAAAAGGAGGCCCACACGGCAGCAGAGAAAGTTCAATCGCCGCACCCCTTGCCCATAAACCCCTCCAGATTGCTCAGGGAGTTCGTCCTTTGCGGGGGAAATGATGCACTTTGGGGGAATGCAATGTCCATTTTAACCAACCTTGATAAGTGTTCCCTCAAAAACAAACAAACACATACGGCTGTGGGTCAAAAATGGGGTAACCCCAAAATGGCTTGCCCTGGGAAATGGAAACAAAGACGAACACCGCTTCACCCTGGCGCTTTAATTTTGAGCCACCCCATACAACTCAAGCGCCCCATCTTGCGTTCGGAAATCCATCTCGCTGGGCTAGGTGAGAGCCTCGTGAGGCTACCAAAAAGCGGTTGCTCGCTTCCCGGATTGGCCAGGTCCCTTGACTTTTGTGCCACATGCCTGTGGCAAAATGGCTTGCCCTGGTAAATGGAAACATGGAGTAAACCTGTGGTCCCCTGGTTTAATTTTGACCCATACCCATATCGCGCTACATGTTCTGAGTTTTATTGAACTCTAATTTCCCTGAAAGGTTCCGGAACGCGCCAGCGGCGAGCTCGTGTCTGCGAACTGAGCCCGGCGTTGCGGGAAAATCTCCGATTTCAGGGAAGCGTAGTGGTTTTTGGGTTTCCTCTGATCATTTCACGGTTCCCTGAAATCGGAGATTTTGTGTGGCATCTCCGTTTTTTTTTTGTTGTGGTATTGGTTCCGTGCAGGTTTGTTGCTTCAACAAACAATTGCCCACCCCTGCACAGTGCTGGAAAAAAAACGGGAGAGTTAGCAAACGACCCAAGTGTCTCTGTCCATTCACTGGGTATGGTGGCAACAAGGTTTTCCTGTGCGAATTCACAAATTGGACACTCAAACAAACTCTAGGCAAACCGAACATGCCCTCAATTGCGCATTTCGGACAGCTCCACAAAAAAAAAAAAAACGAGCCGTACTCAAACGCTTCACCACTTTATCAAGGGTAGGGCCACACGAGCCGGTTTGCCAACAAGATGTTTGAGCTGAACGTTTAAAACATCCAGTCTGTGAAAACTGGCTACTGCGTGCCCGATTTGCAACCAAGCCTGCTGGACCCTCAGTCACTAGCCCTTGCATCCTGTTACCATCGCTGCAGTTTACAAAATCCCTCGCTCCGGAAGTTTAAGGGCCCCTGCTGCTGACCACCGAATCCAGCACTTGCTCCTGTGAGTGCCAACAAGCAGGAGGGGTGCGCGGCCTGTTCGGCCCAAAAATGGGACCACGCAATGCCGGGCAACCGCAAGAACTTCCCCGTTGGCCATGGCTCTGGGAGGGCAGTTGCCACAAGCCCACAAGATGTGTTCGCGAGGATTTAGGACATGTCATTCAGGTACCGCAACAGAAGCAAACCCCAAAACAAAGAGACACCAAAAAGAGCAACCACCAAAAAAAGGGCAAAAAAAAAAAACGGAGAACGCCAAGTCAAGAAAAAAACACGACCCCCTCCCCACCCGCCCGTTCAGCCGCAGGCGGGCCCCGGCATGAACCACGCCCCCCGACTTCCGTTACGGCTGGCCTCCTCGAGCAGCTCGTCGGGCGGCAGGATGGTGGTCCGGAAGTGGTAGGTGCCCTCCCTCTGCTCGAAGCCGCTGCCTCCGCCGCCGGTCACGAAACATGACGTGCCGTGCGAGGTATGGCGAAAAAGAATTGGACCAGCTAAAATAATGATGGCTCCAAGGGAAACAGGCCACCCCCCCCCCCAAAAAAAAAAAAAAGAAGAAAGAAAGAAAGAAACAGAAGGAACGCGGAAGTGGCGAAAGGTTGCCTTGGCAAACTGTTGGACACTCCTCTTCCCAAAGCTGTGATTCCTTGGTGTGAGATATGTTTTCGGACCCCTTCCGGGGAGAAAGGGGTGCTGAGATGGACTGGGACTTAGCTAAGCGGACTTGGCTAAGTCGCTCACCCACTTCCCACGGTGGTAAGTCCCAAAAACAAAAATGCGTTCAGCATGCCAAGTCCCGGAAACTCCAGCAGGTCTAAGCTTGGGATCAAAGGCGGAAAGGTCCTTGGGCTTGAGGCGAGCTTCAACACCAAACGATCTGACATACCCATCCCAACGGTTCAGCCTGTTTATTTGGTGTCCATGTGGATTCCCTTTAACAACCCGAAAAGGAAGCCCTGGAAAGAAAGACGCACCCTTTGCTATAATTGGTGAGATATCTTGTGCCACTGCCCATCCGATCATCCAGCTATTGAAGATTTGACGTGTCGCGTAGTTCATCATCGCGCAAGACACTGCTTACCGCTTCAGTTATTTAAGAGCTGCTGGGCAGTACTTGGGCAGTGGCGCAGACTGTGGTTCTTGGGGCCGGTTGCCCAACCTAAAGCTTGCCATGCTCGTTTTAAGCATCACCAGAACCAAACAACCAAGTCGATAGAATCCAATTTCGCGGCCGGCAAAAGCCTAGGCTTCAATGGGCTCGAATCGACCGTCGACCGAAACTTGGCCTGGCACCGTCACGATGCCGGTCTCCTCCAGGAGCTGAAGGCACCTCTGAAACAGGCCGGCCATTTGACGGTATCCCAAGGTGATATACGAGCGGCTCGTCCTTTTTTTAGGGGTATGCCCGGTATCCCCATGTTTTATTGCTTTTAAGGGCAACCAAAAGGAAAACCGGAACTCCCCTTAGAAGAGACACGCTATGAGTTGGTCTCCAAAAACTGACTGGGTTTCGGTTTCCCTTCATAAATGTATATATAAAAACGAGGTACCCTCAAAACAAGGCACCCTCCCCCCCCCCCCATATCCCCCCAACCCACGTCTGGGCCGGGCGCCACATCTCATCCGGCTCCGTGTTCTCCTTCTCCGCCTCCTCACGTCGAATCCCGCGTCGAAGCCCACGTCATTAGGATCCCAGCCCAAAATCCTCTTTTTTGCCTGGTGAGTGGAAAACAAAGGGGACCCCAAAAAAGATGAAAAAAACAAAAAAGAAAAAGGAACTAATTCTGGGGAAGTGTTGGGGTTGGGCCGACCTAGGTGGAAACCACTGCTGTTTTTCAACCATCTCCAAGTTGGCTTTCCCTAAGCCCGGCTTGGCGGCGGGAAATTCCGATCATGAGTTTATTTAGTTTAGTTTTAAAGCGCGCTACAACGCCATTCTATTCTGAGTTAGGGTCTTCCAGCAAGCATGGTCTCCTTAAATATTAAAGGATACCGTTGGGCCTGTCAAACAAAACACCCAAATGCCAGCTGACACAAATCCTTGTACAGCAGGTGGTTACCAGCCCCAAAAAAGAGAGGGACACCACCAGACCGTCTTCCGAGGCGAAGCTCTTGCGGGATGAGTTCTGGCCACTTGGGTTCAAACCCACCAGGCCAGCCCATGTTCTCCGCCCAAACATGTCTTGATGCTCCGGCATGGAGAGGCGCTGCCTTGTGCCATCGCCAACGAGCCTTGGGTTGGGCCAAAGATTTGGCTTGGAGATTCCGACCTGGGCTTCGCTGAAGGGAACTCGTTCTGGAATGCGTAGGACACTTAGAGTGAAAGGACTGAATACTCTAGTCGCGTGGTGCACCCCGCACCACCTGACTTTTGCCAAGATGGTCCCGTGTTGCACGCTTTCAACTTCACACGCCCTCTGAGGGCCTTCATGGGTTTGGATTCAAATTGGGCACGTGGACTTCTGTCCCGCCAGCAGTTTTCCAACCGTTGACCTTCCTTTGTCTCATAATAAATAAAAAAAAAAAACAACGGCCTCAACCGGGTGGGTTCCTGGTTCCAATTCAAAGCACCCAGCAAAACCCGCGGCTCAGAAGCGACGCGCCCAGTGAGGCCGAATGCCTCGATGGCCTTCTTGGGCAGCTGCACGGAAGGAAAGGCGTACATGGCTCCTGGCGGCTAGAAAATCCGCAAAAAAAAAAGAAAGAACGAACGAATTGGATTTTCGAGTAAAGAACGAATTGGTCCTCCAGTAGAGAGGTTAGAACATCTGCAAAAAAAAGAAGAAGATGGATCCCCAATGTTTTTTTTCTCCTCCATTGTGGCATTCTGGCGATCTAAGCGCTGCGCCATGATTGGATCCCCGAGCAAAGGTTTTCTTTACCGCTCTGCCCAAGGGACGCCGGACGCCGTTCTTGCCAGGCGGTTTGCTTTCATGGGATCCTGAAAGCTCCCTCCCCCAACTCGAGCGCCGCACAGAAGGAACGCGAGTCTCTGAAAAGGAATTGCCCAAGTCGTTTATGCGCTCGATTGTGGGAACGTCTCCCCTCTTTGGCTGGTCATTTCACAGCAACAACTCAAAGGCAACCCCATTTTGCGAATTGAAGTGTAGATCCCCATTTTTTGTGCAAAGTGTACAAAGTGTGTCGCGAAGTATTAGATCCGCATTTGCGACAGCCCCCCCTTCTCCTTCGATGGCTTGGCAGCTGATGCCCGGCACTTTGTTCAAAGCCTCTGTGAGGTGCAGCGCGCGCCTCCCGACTCGCGTGTTGCCCTCGTTGAGGGATGCCCTTTGAAAGTGCCCCCAAACACCTCCGCCCCTTTTAGTTCAGACGAGGAATCGTTTTGGGAGGGAAGGTTTACGGGGCTGGCTGACCCCGCTGGTTCCAAACGGGGGATTAAACAGCATTGCCCCCTTTTCACGCGCTACACTCCCCCAGGCGAAAAAAGGAAGCTCCCAGAAGGTCTCTGTAAACGGAACCAAGCCTTCTAAGCTTCCACGTAAAAACCTGGGGGGCGCTACCTGGTCCAAAATTGGTCAAAAGCGTTTGAAGCTCGTGTGTGGTGTCCCCGCTTTGCTCCCTCAAGTGAACAAATTGCCTCGCTGCCGGCCAATCCAAAGCAACGAAGCATGGTTAGCCGCACGACCTTGTGTCGCTCCTCAAACATCGCAAATAGCAGCGCACTACCATGATTTCCCCCGGGGGGGGGGGGAAGCTTTAATTTTCGTCCAGCTACGGATCATGGTTGAATGCGTCTTTGTACGAATAAACTTTGAGTTGCAGAATGTTTTAGTCAGTATTCAACCCTGATAAGCGGTTGAGAAAATCAAAGACCCCTTTTGGATTCATCAATGCGGCCAACAGGAATGCGACATGAAGGTTTTTAGTAAACAAGCAATCTCCTGCAAAAGCGCCCCAACAGTTGGAGATTGAGCCTTGAAGGGCCAAACAAGGCCAAATAGGCATGTGTCAAAATTGGGGGGCCACTTGAACCGCAAAAGCGGTTACCTCGCGGTCCCTTCCAGGCCTGGAAAGGGTAGCAACTCCAAACAAGCTCAGCTGAAGAAAGCAACCCGGCTGTGCACATGTTCAACGGGGGAAACTCATGTCAGCGATCCGGATCCCGTGCACCCGCTCACACCTCGCTCCGTCCACCGCTCCGAGAAGAACCTCCCTCCCCTTCCCAAACCAAAGCATCAGAGGTGCTTCTTGGAAAACCACAAGCCCGACTGCAGTTTTGTGAAAGCACAAAGCACAATTCCATCATGTTGGTTTAGCCGTGCCATCCATTTTCGCCCTGGTGTAAGGACTGATAGGAGGAGGTGGTCTAATAATAATTAAGAAACAAAAAAAGACCCTCGCCCCCCTGCCCACAAAAAGAAAGGAGAAAAAAACACGGGTATCCCTCCCACGGTTGCTGGATGAGCGGGTGGTCTTTTTCACCTGTGAGACGGGTGGTCGGGTGCCCTCGTCTCTCCCACTCCAGAAAGCGCGGCTTGCGCGCCTCTTGAGAGCCTCGAAGATTGTGGAGGTCTCCTTCTGGTACAGCTCGTAGGAGGGATCGCCTCACATCTCAAGGTGTCTTTTCTCCAAAGAAAAAAAGGATAGATTCAAAAGTCGGTTTGTTTGGCCGGGGGGGGGGATTGTCTTCCCATTCTGAAAAACGGTTAAAAGGTTGGACTTATGAAGTAAGAAAAAGGGCTCGGCCAAAGAACTAGATCTGCTGGGCGCTGCTATGACGGTTCGCCTGCAAATGGCAAGCATGGTGTGCAGCTTTTAGTGCACTAGCCCCCCGAAAGTATCCGAACAAAATCTAGCTTTGACCGTCGTGCGTATTTGTGGTCTGGTCTTTTCTGTTGTTGTGATATATTTTGGGTTTGCTTGTTGTTAATTGGTGTTTGACTGTGTGGTGTTTTCTGCTTTTGTGTTTCTTGTGTTTCGCTATATGTTTGTTCTCACTCATCTCTTGACTCACGCCTTCTGAGGTGCTATCACCCACCAAAAGGTGAAACAAATGCGTCACATACATTTTCTGATCTGCAAGCAGGCACTATCTTGGGCCAAGTGGCAACTCGTCGGCAGAGTAATATAAACTCATGCATGTTCTGACTCGGCACTCACAGTTGCATGTGCCTCATGCGATCCGATGTGCTACATCTCTTTGCACGCTACTAGCTCTAAACACGACAATAAAACTTGAGAAAAACTCAAAGATGTTTACGCCCGTGCAGTGGAACAGTCACGCCAAGCTACATAGCCAACATGCTGCCTTCAGCTGGATCTTTACCTGCTCACAAGCTGCACTCGTCAAAGGTTGAAAGGTCCGATGGCAAAATGCAGCGAACTTGCCCCAGGCCCTCGCTGATCGTCCACTTGACGGCGCAAATCTAGATTCACTTGGGCAACCAGACTCAGAGAAGGTGAAACATAGATGGTGACAAAAAAAAGATTTGATGAAATATGCAACATCCACTCATGGAGGAGCTGGCAGGTTCATTCATTTTGCAGGCCCGAACCCTTCTGATCAGCATGGTCCGGTGAAAATGAATTGGCCTTCCCAAAAAACAAGTCAAGGTAGGAATAAACCGGGCTATCAAATAAGTGTTGCCCCAAAGTGACCATCTAATCAACATTGATCCGACATATGACAATCTGATGCTTGAAGCCTTGGGGGTTTATCAAAAGGTCCTTTGCATGGGATGGCCATTGGGAGAAACCACCAAAAAAGGTCATATGGCTGTGGCTCAAAAAACCAGTACCACAATGGAACCCTGGTAAGTGGAAACATGGACCAAAACCTGCGTAACCCCTCCTGGTTAAATTTGAGCCACACCCATATGGGAAAAGTTACCCCTGGTCAAAACCGGGGGCCAGGGAGCTGACGAACCCCCGATGGCACATGGTCTCAATGGGCAGCCCGGCCCGGCTGGGGCGGCTTCACCATGAGCCCCACGAAAATCTGGGCATGGCAGCTGTGGCGTGTGAAGGCCCGTTGACCCAGTCTCACTTCTGGTTGCCAACGAGTCACGGGTGGTTTTCCCCTAAAAGTGCGGTCTTCCCAAAAGGGCTTTATAAAATGAAGAGAACTCCGGGAGGGAGCAAAAAGAATGGGGAGTCTCGACTTTCCCACTTAGCCGCTACTTGGGCTGGCCCCTAAAAAATAGGGATGATTGCCTTGGTCGGCTCACATGCTGTGTTCTGGCATGCCAAGAAACTGTGCAAGGTGCTGGCGCACCCAAGCGACATGTGGCCCGAATTCTGACTGCATTGGCAATCATCTTCAAGAGTCTCCTCGCAGCGTAGCTAAAGATTTGTCTTCAGAAGCGCTTTGTTTCATGCAGCCAGATCCCAGGTCGACAGCGCGAATTGCGAGGCTTCCTGGCCTTCGGCAGAGTTGCAAAACAAGGGGGCCTATGCAAACATCTAACATGTGTGTATGTTGGAATCGTATGCATGCATTGCATGCACGCACGCCCGTTTAAAACCCTTTCTTTCCCCATGCCTGTTTAAGACCCTTTGATTTTTCCAGGCACCGACGTGGTCAGTTGCTCAGGGGGGCCGCCGGGCTTTCGTGCGGCGCGTTGGGCTTCCGCCCCGCCTGACCCAGGGTGTTGGAGGAGAGCGAGGTGGCCGCCATCTTGGTGAACTCCGTCAGCACCGCCTCCGAAAAGCCTCGCGCCCGGCGGGGGGGGGGGGGGCTGAAACGCTTGGACTTGGGTTGCACCCGGGGCGTTGCACCAGACCACTCAAGTAAGTCACCATGGACTTAAAGAATGACAGAAAGTTGTCAGTTGCTCCCCTTCAACAGAACCCAGAACTCACAAAACCAGAAGAGGAAACTCCAGAGGGGACCTCTTGACAACTTGAACGTGACCAAAAACTATCCCCAACTCGATAGACCGAGACTCTGGCATTAAATTCCGAGAGTACCCACATTTGTCCTTGCCAAATAGACCATCCTGGAAATTTTGACCTTTTACCTCACTTCATCCACCGACATTCAGAACCTATGGAGATCAGGCTTTGACCTTTGACCATGTGGAAATCCGGTCTTTTGAACGGAGCAAACATGTCCCTCCAGCCCACCCCACTCCACTCCACTCCACATCCACATCCACATCCACATCCACATCCACATCCACATCCACATCCACATCCACATCCACATCCACATCCACATCCACATCCACATCCACATCACTCCACCCCACCCCACCCCACCCCACCCGCCCTTTGGTCGTTCTTGGGCCCCGGCCCACATACTCCATGAAGCCGCCCCGCTGGCCGCACTCCCCGAGGATGCCCTTCGAGGTGGAGTGGAAGCCTCGAAGTCGAAAGCTTGGAGCGCCCTTTGTCTTTTTGACACAAGGCATGGCATAGTTTCCTATTTGGCCTGTTTGGCTTACATGGCCTGGCCAGCTTTTGGCTGACCTTGTGGTTTGTGGTGGGAAAGGGGGGGGGGAGGGGGAGGGTGGAGGGGCGGGGAGGGCGGAGGGGCGGGGAGGGCGGAGGGGCGGGGAGGGGCAGGGGGGGGGAGAGGCAACATTTGGGGGGGGAGTCCAAATAAGTATCCCGAGATGTCAAAATTGGGGGCGCTCACCAGCTCAGCTGTCCAAAGGAGCCAGAATAAAAGGTCATCACCTTTTGGAACCTTTCCTAAAATGCCAAATCAACAAACCAAAAGGTTAAAGGTCGATTCGCTGTGGGCAAGAGAGTCATAAAACCAGGAGGGAATGTGGGTTGTCCACTGGAATTGGATTTTGACCAAAAAATGGTTGCAACCTTGGTGCAAAGCAAGACCAGCCCCTGGCCTTCTTTAAAGAGAAGCAAGGTTGAGCAATTGGGTGCTTGAATGGGAGGGTTGGCACAACACTCTCAGGAACAAGAAGGAAACCGCAAGGATGGCATATAGGCCCTTCCAACCCTTTTGGCAAAATGGATGGCTGTGGCACATTATGAGACAACCAGCTCAACCAGGGCCATCTGTTTTCTGCCAAAACAACCACAAAAGGAACACCTATGCTTCCAAAATGCGAACCATGCTTCTTTTTGTGGGGGGAGGGAGGGGTCCAAATTAAAGTTGTCAAATGGAGCGGGTTTCGTTCCACGGGCTTTGCTTTCAAGCTAGGGCCAGCTTCGCAGGGCTCCGTGAAGCACTGGATTTGAGGATTTGGGGTACCCTCCCACCTAACATGGAAGTGCAAAACGGACCTTTCCAAGAGCAAAGTAGTCTTACAGGGGTCTGTGCACGTCCATAACGTTGGCAAATCTCTCGCAGGAAGCAGCCCCCATCCGCCATGGTCGAAGACCCTGGCCAAGGTCGTGGTGTCCTGAAAAGGAATCCTGACGATAAACCTCCATCCATTCACGCGTCCACATGAAGCAAATGGGTGCACTTCCCTTGGAAAGAGGCTACCTCTTGCACTAGTTTAAAGGGAACCAAAAGGGAACCACACTCTACTTTACTTTGTGAGCCAAAATGGCCCATCCCGTGAGACCTATAAAAGACCTGATATGTCAACGAAAAGGGAACCGGTAGAGCACGGCTTGGGGTTGGCCATGGGTGCAAGGCGCTGATCAGCTGGACGTCCTTGTACAAGCTGTCCTCCTGCTGCAGCTCCCTCAACACCTTCTTGAAGGAGTGGAAGGCCTTGCCCTGGAAAAGCCGAAGAAAGGCCCTTGATGAGACTTGTATGGCTTGCATATGTATGTGAATATATCTGTATATATCTAGTGTATATATATATATAGTGTATATAAATAATATACTGTGTATGTATATATGTGATTCGGGCACGAGCCTGTGCCCAGGCAATGGGTAAGTTGGGGTAAACAAGCCACAAAAGAAAGGTTCCCCAAAAGCAAACCAATCCCCGGTCCCAAAGATCAGGGTTTCCCACACACCAGAGAACAACAACCAAAGGAAAACAAACCAAACAAGAAAAGGGTTAACCCGCAACCTTGGTCGACAACAGGCCGCACGACTGGTCCCTACCAACCTGGCGGCGGCCCGAGGTCTCTTTCTCCCCCGAGATGCCGTCGGTCGACGCAGGGGTTCGGCGACGCCCATTCGAGGCGCGACGGAACCCAAAATCTTGAGCCAAAACACCACAGGTCGGTCACTAACGCGACATCCCTGATGATGATATAAACCATGGCTAATCACACCCCCCTCACGAGGAGCCCGTCATATGACGGGTGGAGCGTGCCATTTACTGATAGGATTTAACTGCTCGCATACGTCCGCAAACAGCTGGACACTACCGCCGTCAGCGGTGGAGCAAACCCACAAAGGCAGTTGCGCGACATCCCGGGCATTAAATTCCCGCCACCACCCCGAATTAATCGGGGTAACGCTGTCCAACAAACCTTGTGGAAAAGTCCACATGACGACATAGGTCACAACTGTTTGCATCAACAATGCAAGAAGTTTAATTCTTATCAGAAGCCATGAAATAAAAGATAACGTATGTCCATTAGTACCCTCGCCTAACGGCAAGAGGTACTCCTGACCATGCGTACCTGAAAAATGCCTGAATTCCGCAAACCCGGGAGTAACCCCCCATCAGTTTGCTTTCCCTCTCACTCATACTGCTTCCGGATGAGCACGTCCAGCAGCTCAGCAGCGGTACGGGAGAGACATGACCTCCGCGCCTCAGCGGTCCGGGAGGAACATCACCACCTCCGCACCGCGCCGACCATTGGAGAACGGACGCAAGCCTATCGGCCGCAATCCTCGTGACTCAGCCTACCGGCTATCGTCACGTCTCCTCCGGTCACGTCCGCCCCGCGCACGGTCCCTATCACGATCCCTTTCGGATCTCCTGCGATCATCTCGCCTTCGATCCCGCTCCCGATCGAGTGAATCATCATCACGACGATCACGAGCATCGTCCCTCCTCCTGTCGCGATCATCCTCGCGCCGCGGACGATATCTGCGCCTCCTCGACTCTCTGGAATCCCTGGTGTCCACGGTCCTAACGGACCTCCGAGAAGGAGTACGGGAAACATCCGACTCCCTACGCCTCCTCCCAGATTGAGAGTTCGTCACAATCTGGTTGAGAGCTTCCAGTGCCGACGCGTCCTCACCATTTCTGATGAAATCCCTAACCTGCTTGTTCAGCACTCTGTTGGTGGAGATCGTCAAGAAAGCGTCCACCACCGAACTCTCAGGCAGCACCAGGAAGTGACCCTCCACCGGGCTCGCCGCATCCCGCTCAGCAGACTGCAGCCGGATCTCCCCGCCTTCAGGCTTCTTTGCCATCGCCTTGGAGGCAGTCAAAGGCGCTACCGCATCCTTTGCCGAAGATCTGCCAAGCGCGGAGTGAAGATCATCCCCGCTAGCTTCTCTCGCTGCCGCACCTGGTCTGCTGTCGACATCGCCAGGCCTCGTGGATGCCTCCCGCTTTGTCGACTCCTTCGCAGCCTCGTCGGGATCCCAACGGGACTTCCTTTCTCTCTTCTGCCCTTCGGCCGACCCGCGGCTACCGCCGGGAGCGTCACCTCCGCCTGTCTTCTCCTTCTTGACCTCAACCTTCGGTTCGGCCTGCTTCGTCTCCTTAGCCACAGCTTTTGGAGCCGGAGCACTCTTCGCCTCAGATGCCGAAGCAGCCTTCCCTTTCGGCTCTGCCTTAGGAACCGGGGTCACTTTAGCCTTGGCACTCGGCCTGGCCCCTTCAACCACCATCTCGGCCCAAGACTTCTTCGGCTGAGCTGCTGCTGCATCAACCTCCATCGGAGCAGGTCCAGCGTCATCCTTCGCCTTTGGGACGGATGGGCTACCGCCCTTACCGGATCCTTTACCCGGCACTTCACCTGATTTTGGTGGCGGGCCGGAAGGACTACCGCCCTTACCGCCCTTTTCCCCCTTCTTCCCTTTTCCTTTTCCGCCCTTGGGGACCGGCTCCTGCTTGGGACCAGGACCCGGCGCAGCATGATGCACCGATTGGAGTCCCTCGATGTCCACGTTCAATGGTTCGGGTTGACGACCGTCAAGAACCGTCCTCACCCTTTCGTCACTAACGTAGACGAACGGGTCACGGAAGGGTGCGGGAGGCTCCGACTGTCCGGCGCTGATCGCCTTCTGCACCTTGGCTATCGCCTCCTTCAACCTCTTCTTCTCATCGTACCCTGTCTCCGATACCATGTACTTCCTGAGCTGCGAATCAACGCATGACTCTCCAGGATGTCCACGTCCTTTCGATGGGTCGGGTACAATGGGGTCAGATGACCAGCCGCGGAACCAATCACGTATGCCATCGGAATATCATGACGAGCGAACTTCCTAACGGAAGTCGTCATACGCCTACCCCACTGAGCAGCGTGTCTTGGGTTGGCCCGGAAGTACTCCGTGACCGACTCAAATCTATCGACTTGGTTGGTCTTGATCAGGTGCTTCGCCACCCACTTCTCCACGAACGCATCCGAGGCCGAAATCCCGGACACATAGGAGAATTGGAAGAGCACCTTCGCCAGCTCATCCCACGCCGCATCGACACCTCCCTTGTCTTCACCAAGATAAGGGGGAAGTCTGATGCCGCTCTGCACCGTCATCCTCAGATCGGATGCCATCGAATAGGAAATCAAATTCCTCTTGATGACTCCGACCACTTCGGAGGGAATCCTCCTGGGCTTGAACTGCCCCATGGTCCTCACCCACTCCGGCACGATGTGGCACGTTTCGAAGTCCTTTTCCTCCGCGTTGGGGATAAAGTTCGGGTAAAAGACCGGGAGCGCGCACCCGGGACACAAGTGCATCCCATTCGGCATCAATTCTGCGCACCTCAAGCAGAACGTGGCAGTCACATTCAGCCTGATCTCTTCCCGTGATCGCTTGTGCTCTCCCCTAACGGGGGTGAAGTCACCGTAGTCCCATGCCCGGTGGTACACTATCGTGTAATCATCGTACATATACGCCGCCTTCCAAGCCCCCATGTGGATCTCGTTCCTAACGGCAAGAGTCTTCCTTCTCGTCAAAAACACGGGTCCAACCAAAGACCAGTGCACCCGAAGATCCACCATTACCACCACGTACCTACCGGAGTAGTTCCGCAGCCTGTCCCTGACATACCACGAAGGCGATACCTCAGCATCCGGCGCCATGGCTCCCACAAGTGGGATCAGGCCCTCATCCTGCCTACCATCCCCAATGGTCTCGTACACATCGGGCCTCGTGATCAATATCTCGATCATGGCCTTTCCATTTCGCCTCACCCTTTGGAGCTGAACCGCCTTCCGAAAGTCCGAGAACTTCATGATGACGTATCCCACCATGGGGAGTTCATTCCAATGCATCTCATACATCAGAGATCCGCCAGGTGCATCTTCCTGAGTATACCTGTGCCTAACGGCACTGTAACTCAAGTCGCGTCCGATCCGCGTGTGCCTAACGGCAACCAACCTGGTGCTCTCCTTGAGGAGAACGCCATCCCCGTCGTACATGACCATGAGCATCGCCTCCACTTGCCCTATCGGGAAAGCTTTAAGCGTCGGAATGAAGAACTTCCAAGACATCTCAGCGTTCTCCATGCCCGAAATCTCCTTCAGGAACCAGATGGCCTGGTCACTTTTCACCCAGTTTCCAGCCTCGCGTCCGGTCTCCTTCAGCACACGTTCCTCGAATAACTCCGAGACTCTCTTTGAATTGATGACCAAGCCGTCGAAATCGCACGAGAGCAGTCTCATCAACTCCTTCGCCGCCTCCCGTCCTGCAACAGTGCCCACTGTCTCCTCGTAGTTCGGGAGGTATTCACCCAACCTCGTCTTCGAGGGAACCACAATCTGGCAAGTGACGGCCTCATCAGGGATAACTCCCGTTTCCCTAAACTCTGGATTGATCTCTCGCCTATCGGCAAGATAATCCTCCTTCCCATCCAGTATCACAAGATTGTAGGTCATCTTGCTCGCCGCCCCACTAGGCCTGAACTTCCTGCTATCATCCAGCTGGTCAGGAGCAAAGGGTCCACTAGGGGCAGCTGCACTCACCAGAGGCGCTCCTCGCCCAGAGCAGAGGTGCTTCTTGTGGAAGTTCACCATCTGATTCAGCTGCGATAGTGCGTAGGCACGATCCTCCAATGACGCACTCTTCATCCCAGCCTCAGTCAGAGGAGCCTCAGGCTTGTCATAACTCGCCTTTCCGCCCCATCTCGCCGCGACCAGCTCAGCAGACTTCACAGGGTCGATCAATTCCCGACCACTCAGGCATGTTGCTCAACCTCCTAGTCAACGCGTCTACCGACGCAGCCAAGTCTTCGTCCGTCACGGTGTAAGGGTCGACATTCTCCCTGTCGTCCTGACCCACATCCGGAAGCCTATAGTCCCCGCGGATGGCCTCCATCGCGGTCCTCTCGGCTTCCTCAGCCTCCTCTTGCGTGGCCACAGCTCTAGGAATCAGGAGCGCGACCTCAGCCGGCAACGACTTCTCCATGTTGATTGGAGTATTCTTGGGAAGGATTCTTCGATCATCTCCCTCCCCGCTGTACACGTATTCCCGAGCAGCCTTTCGGTACTCCTCAGCGGTAGCCCCTCTGTAGTTGGAGGCCTTGCTCGGGCCTTCCTTCCCAGCCTCGGTACCCCGAGGCGTGGACTCCTTCGTCTCGGCGGAGCCCTTCTTGGAGTCTTCCTGATCCACGTCCATGTCGTCCTTCTTCTTCTCCGTC